TTCGGCCCATACTCGCATCAGTCCCTATGAGAAAACAACCCTAGGACCCTCGGGGGGCCAAAAAATCACGGAAAAACGAAGCTTACCGGCGGCGGCGCTCTCAGGTGCGGCGGCTCTCCGGCGAGGTTCGTGTTTTGGTGATTCGGCTCCGGTCAACCTGTAGAGAAAAGAATGGTGATCACGGTGATATAAAAATTGCATCAAACGGAGGCCGGGAAGGGCCTCATCGGAGGCAAAAACCGAGAAGGGGTGCAGCGGCGTCGCTGGGCTTCGGCCGCGTATTCCAGCTGATTGGCCGGGATTTTGGCTCCGATTTGGCCACAGGAGGAATCGACGTGGAAAAACGAGTCGGGAGTACGAAATTTACCTCGATCGGCGGTCGGAAGTTCCTCCGGTACGGCGGCGGGTGGCGGCGGCCGGCTTCTGGTTCGTCTTCTCCGGCGAGCGGCAGGCGGCTAGGGTTTATGGTCTGGTGTGGGGGTTCTATTTATAACCCCTTGCCTTTTAATCTCAGCTGTCCATTTCGTTTTAATCTGGGCCGTTCGTTTTTGATTGAATCTGGGCCGTCCGTGCGATTGAATCTGGGCCGTCCGATCGCGCGATTGATCTAGGCCGTCGGATCGCACCCACGCGGATCGCCAACGTGGCTCCTTTTCGGAGCGACGTGGTCTTGCCACGTGGCAGGCCCCGGTTGGCCGGGACTGCTGACGTGGCTCTCTCTCTTTTTTTTTTTTTTTCCTCCTCCTTTCCGGGTGCTACAAAAGGTAGTCTATAAATTTTTTATTACTTTATCTATGTGTTTTTTTATTTTTTTAAATTTTTTATTTGAGAATTTCTTATAATTTTATCTAATCGTCTTATTTTCTAAGTTATAATAAACTATAAAGTTTGAGTTTAATTTTTTTAACTTCTGGCTAGTTTAATGTTTTTTCTATTTCCTACGTTGCAACTTTCTTGATTTCAGTGCATTAATGATGTATATATATTTTCAAAATTAAATTTAAAAATACAAAGGATTTATAATAATCTTATTTTGTTATCCTATAATATGTTGAAGATAAATATAAAAATTATAATTTATTTTATTTATTATTTAAATTCAAATAGAATTTATCTTTAATTAAATTTATAATATGTTTATTTTTAAAAAATCATGTTATTAATGGAAGTTTATCTTTTAAGAGATTTGATTTATATTTATCTCTTAAATAATGGTAGATTATTTTTAAAAAATTTGAATTTGATGTAAACTTATTTAAATACACTTTAAATTGTTAATTTTGGAGTAAGTGAAGTCAACAAAAAGTTAGATTTTCTTCATTATAAAAAAATTCCAAGGTATCAGAACTTTTATTGATTATGAATATATGCAAAAATAATGTAGAAAGAAAATCAATGAGGAAAAGAAAAAAAAACATGGAGGGAGTCTTCTTTGTCAAGATGTCAAATAAGTTTTCATTAACATCAAAAGGAAAAATTATGCAGAGTATGTAAAAAAAAAAAAAAAACAATCATGATAAAAAAGATTTTTAGCACAAAAGTAAATTTTAAAGAAGAAGAAACTCTTCTTTAAATTTTGGAGAGAAGTGCTCCAAAGGGTTTTAATAAGAAATGCATTAAATAATTAAAAATTGATTAGAAGTACATCAATAATTGGAGGTTAGTGAGAAATACATCAATAGTTGAAGAGAAATGCTTTAGAATATGAAGATCAAACAAAAAATATTATAAAGAAGTGTTCTAATAAAATAAATTTAGTGATTATAATTTCTATATATAGGGAGAGTGTTGAAGATAAATATAAAAATTATAATATATTTTATTTATTAATTTGAATTCAAATATGGTTTATCTTTAGTTAGATTTAAAATATGTTTATTTTTAAAAAAATCATGTTATTAGTGCAAGTTTATCTTTTAAGATGTTTGATTTATATTTATCTCTTAAATAGTTGTAGATTATTTTTAAAATATTTAAATTTGATGTAAGTCTATTTAAAGGTATTTTAAATTGTTAATTTTAGAGGAAGTAAAGTCAATAAAAAATTTAAGTTTTTTTCACCTAGAAAAATCCCAACATAATAATCCTATAAACCAGATGGTAGAGAATTTGCTGATAAGTATACTTGTTTACTGAGTATTTATTTATTTTTACTAGAATATCTTGTTTTAATGCATCGCACCATGTATTATCTGGAAACCTAATAAGCACCCTATCTTCAATTTAACTTTAATTTCAATTATGATTGAGGAGTTTTAAATATATGTTAGAAGTAAATGAGTTTTGAAAAACAAGATTTCCTATTACTACTTATTTTTAGGAATCTATTTATGTATTTACTCATTATCATAGCTTAAATATAAATAAGAGATCTATTGGAAAATGTGAGTTATGCCAATAGATAAGGTTCATTGATGACGAAACATTTTATTTTTCAAAAGTGTCAACATAATTATTTGATTATTTCCAATAACCATTTGAATTAAAATCAAGTTTTTTGGTTATGCCAATAATTGTATCATCAAATGATAGTCAACATTTGTATTGATTTTGGAAATTCCATCCTTCCTAAGATCAAATATCTGAATGATTATAATATATTCATAACACGCAGCAAAAAATATAAAAGAATCCAATATGATCTATTTATGCTTCAAAAATTATATTGCACGTTAAATATCAAATCTAAAACATATCTGATAACACGTTCTTAAATTAAAATTATTCGAAAACATGAACACTCTATGTATCAAAATTGAAATCGACCTTTACTAATCAACTTTGTAATAACCGGAATTAATTTTAAAAATTTAAAATTATATATAAATATAATTTTAAATTTATGATTTTTATTTAATGTAAAATTAGAAAAAAATAGTGGAGATGAAATTGAAATATTTGA